GATGAAGGAACAACAGGTATCTCGATTGTTGCTAGTGGATAAGACACGTTTTGATTTCCAAAAATCAACAACTGGCATCGATGGTATAACATGTTGTTCCTGCCACATTCCATTTGCAAAAAAGTTTAGTAAAGCCACAATTCAAACATAAGCGCCCTTTTGACGATGTCAATAATGGATTATATACGGCGATACTACTATTACTATCAGCGGCTGGTATTACAGTGGCAAATAGTGTACAACTTGCTGGTGTCGAATAGACTGAATGACAAATATCTCACTTTCGTATAAGTTTGCTGTTCCAGCATGTTTTCCGAAATGTCTAGTTTGCTGATGACCGTCTTCTTTGTATGACAAAGTTTTGCAGCCATAATAATCACCTTCCGCAGTGATTCCAAATTTTGTTTTAAGAAATTCAGATGCATGACACGTATGTAGTGTGTTATCAGGATACAAAAAAGAGAGCATCGCCAAATGAATGAAACGTTATTAAAGGGTGTGGAGGTGTGTCTCTTAAGTTCATTCACATCTTAGATATTTGAGAAGTTATCTGACAATTTTGTGAAGATGAAAGATATTGCATACTGCTAGATGCTGTTGCACAGTCATTAAGTTTTACGAATAATTTCAACAATAAGTTTGATATGATCAGTTGGGTCTCACTGATTTGCATATTTAGTATGGAAAATCGTTTGGCTTTGATCAAAACAGGGTTTTGATTGAAAAAAATTTTTTGAGAAATGTTTTCTCTTTTCTTTTCAATAACAGAACAATTTTTCTCAATTTTCTGTTGACAGCAGGACAAATGCGTTAGAGCAATTGCATTTTGCCAACTGCATGTTAATATACAAAAGTAAAATATACATTTCACACGTAAACTATATGTCATGAAAATTGAATGAGAGAAAGTAGATCAGAAGAGAAAAAATACCAATGAATAATATATGCTATTCTCATATGAACAATCAAGACGAAAACAACATTGTTTTCATTTCTTGTTTGAAAATGTTTCGCACGTCTATTGTATTGCATAGGAATCAAAAAGAAAAAACTAAATTCAAATGTTTATCCAATGAAATATTACGTGAATTATTTGAATATATCGATGATATAAAATTAATTTGGACTTTTTCTAGACTTAATAATCGTTTCAACGGTCTTGTATTTGTTTGTTCAAAAAACTTTATTCTTAATTTTCAATGAATTTCTAAAAACAAATTTTGATTTCATTTGCTGACATCATCTTTCAATGATTGTCGATCAAGTTATTTCACTTCACCTTCCTGATGATAACACTCCATATTTACTTGATTATTTTCTATAAAATGATTTTTATCTTTCTCAATTTACTTATTTAGAATCACTTCTATTATACCGTATTTGTGATTCTGACATATTCTCTCAAATATTATTAGAATTACCACAACTTCAACATCTCAGGTGTCTAGAAATTAATTCGATGAGTCATGTATTTCGCTCAAAACAAACTGAAAAAATCGTAAACATAGTTTGGAATTTATCTGAACGTATCTATTTTTACATTTCGGAGACGAACGCACGGTTTCATTATATGACCATATCTGGATTAACAATATCTTCATCTTTGAAACATGTCAATCTAATGACTGTGACTTTTGATTTCTTTCGGTTGATATATTTAGTTAAATGTATACCCAATCTGAAAAAAACTCAGTATATTAATTAGATGAAACATTTAGTGATGATATCGAAGTCGATTCATCCTTAAAGAATATTTTACCATTATTACCCGTACTGAATATAAAATATGATGGTAAATTAAATGATTTAGACTTTCTACGTTAAACTATGCCAAATTTACGTTGTCTAAAAATTGTTATATTAATTATTTTTAATAGACATTAATAGTAAGAAATTCTTGTTCGATATTTACCTAAACTAAAAGTATTTCAATTTCAAATATTCATTCATTCATTTATGTTTGTCTAATACAAAGGAATATGTTGATGAATTATTCGATTCATATTACATATCATTCTGAATTGATGAACATCAATAGTTTGTAGGTTGTGATTAGAATTCAAAAGTAGAAAGCTATAGCAACGGTTATTCTGCACTGTTTTATACTTTGCCATATATTTTTAATGATACGTATCCCCATGAACTAATTCATTCCAAATCGACTTGTGTTAATCAAATTGACAGTTGGTCATATGATCAAGTACATACTATCAAATTTCTTCTCAGAATATGGAAAGAATATATACTTCCATATCCGATTCGTTTCTCTCGTATTTGTCAACTTACAATAGATATTGAATTCTTAGAAAATATTCGAATAATTCTTTCAATATTCGATCAATTAATTACGCTTAATGTCCATGATTGCAACGATGAAGTTGGGGTAGGTGTGTGGGTATGGGTGTGTGAAGCAAGGACCAACTCTTATCCCACACTAACAGTCAACGTAGATTATGGATGGTCCAAATCAATTACTTATTGTTACTGCAGGTACCAATTACTATTATTTCAATGCAACTGGATTTTGTTCTACGATTCAAGTACAAAAACGTGCACTTAGTCAGCAACTTGTAATTATGTTTGTGAAGTATATAACTACAATTCTCAATTCTTGGATTATGGCGGTGAATGGATAATTATAACTAAATGGAGAATCACAGATATGACACCACAACATACTGAAGTCTGGATTGGAAATGCAATTGATGCTGCTGGTATCTTTCTCATTATTATGTATATCGATAAATCAACTGATCATTACCTGGGATTAGACAAACTTGATCCGATTCCAACGCCTAAAATGGATGCCACTTATTGATATAATGATCATGGTAATACGCTAGCAAGAGTTAGCACTAAATCTTTTAGCCCCAGTGTTGTGATAGCTGGCTTTGTTGTAAAATTGAGCCAATGGGCTGGCACTTTGGCAAACTTTGGGGATCGTATGACACCTGCTGATGCACGAATCGTGTTTGCCCTGGCGTTTATATATATATTCCAAGTATGATTACAAGTACGACGTTAAGATTTCAAGTCAATCGCATGAGAATTGACACTTCACAGTAGACTTGACTGCAGTTATGCTCAATATTTAGAGTTAAGATCATTATGATGACTAGAGACTTTA